CACTCTGATCCATTTGCATTTTGAATGGGATCTTTGGAAATTTGGGTCTGTTCTGCCTCTCCTCTTGCCACGAGACAAATCTAAGATGCTCTGGGGGCCTCAGAACAAGTGTGTACCCCTATATTGAGGATGTCCCTTTCAGGCCCAGTGGCGAGGTCGGCATCACCACTCATTTCTTCTGGATAAGACTATCTTGTAGATAGTGAGGGGCTCCAGAGAGGATGAGACCCAGATCCATGAACTCTAAAGTCCATGTGCTAGTACTCCCAACCACGCCGCCCCACAGCAGCCCTGGAGGGAGCACCGCCTTTCTTAGAGATGACCCTGAACCCTCTGGACCCCATCACTCCCCACTGCACTACTCTTCAACCCTCCTTGCCCATGGTCAGCCTGAGCTGAGGCCAAGTTTATCACTCCCCACTGCACTACTCTTCAAACCTTTCCTTGCTCACGGTCAGCCTGAGCTGAGGCCAAGTTTCCCTTGCCACTGCTTCAAGAAGGGAATAATTTATTGATTACAATCAACCTATTCATGTTTACTGGCTGGCAGTTCTACCAGGCATTGTCTAGGGCACATGGGTGGTGAAGATGCGGGGAAAGAGCCCTGGGCCGGCCATCAGGAGGCTTTGGGTTTGATTGTTGTCCGTTCCCTCTATGTCATAGAGGACAGTGATGCCAAGGCCTGTCGCGTCATCTCGCCATGTCTTAGATTTCCCATCTGTCAACGGTGAATGGAGTGAGAGGACCCCGAAGGGCTCTCCTTCCGATTTGCATGTTCTGGGCTTCACCATCATCTAAGGGGTAGCCGTGTCATGGCCACCATGTTTATTCTGCCAAACTGTGGGTTAATGTGAGCAAAGGCCCTCGGGCTTGGGAATCAGTCTCACATTTGGGAAGCCAGACAGACGCCCTTGTGAGAACCCGATGACGCGCAACTTCGCTGATATGGGCCCCACAAACCCAGAATATGTCGTTTGGTAACAACGTTTCAGTGTGATTGGAATGTCATCATTCACCGAATGACTGTTGATTGAGTCCTAGGTAGGACCCTGGGATGGGCGGGGCTTTAGAGTCTTAGAAGATATTCCTGTACTGGCTTTGTCATTGCTTCCCTTTCTGAACCTGGGAGATGGGGGTGGATGCCGACTCAGATTATGATTGCCAAAAATGTGGTGCCAGTCAAGCCCCACTGTTAGCTAGAGGACATGCCAGCCACTTTGTATGTATCATCTAATGTACGTCTCCAAACAAACCCACTAAGGAGGAACCGTAATTCCCATTTTACAGATAAGGGGACTACGCCCCAGAGAGGACAGGTCATTTTGCTTCAGGTCAAGCAGAACATTGTATGAGAAGGACCGAAACTCTAGTTCATCTCATCAGAACAAAACCTACATTGTTCTGTCGTACAGAATGGCCCCTCCCACCACCCCTCCCCTTTTGAAAAAAGAAATGGAAGGAGGGAAGGAGGGAGGGAGGGAGGGAAGGACAGAAGGACAGGCGGGAGGGAGGAAGGAATCTGGAATGAAGCACACACAAACCAAGTCTGGAAGACAGTCTTGTGTTGCAGATTTTATTTTATGGCAATAACTTTGATCGATTTTCAGCTGTGCTTTTAAATAACTGCTTGTCATGTGCATTCCTGTGTGAACCAGATCAACAACACCGCAGTGGGACATGCGCTCGTCCTACCCGCTCGGAGGGATCTCACCGACTTCCTGAAGAATGTGCTGACGTGTCACGTATGTCTAGGTAAGGTGTTTCTCTCTCCAGGAGCAATAATGAGGGACATGCACCCAAAGGTTGGGGAGCGAATGATTTGACCTGTATGAAGAACTTGAGTTCAATTAATATGAACCAAGTCTTGCATTTACCAGTGTAGGTACTATCTAAGTAGTTTCCATATTTAAAATGCACTCCCCAAATGAGTCTTATCCTCGATGGCGGGGCAATATGTCTCACAGGTAACCAATATGTCTCACAGGTAAAACCCAAAAGAGGGTAAGCTTGACTTCGAGTTTTACCTTGGGGTCCCGAATTCAAATGCATCATTCTAGTGACTTTTCTAGAACATACTTTTTTTTCAGAGAACTAAAGTAAATGAAAAACAAATTGTACTGTCACGACACTAGCAAGGATTTCAGGTTATGACGTGATTCTCCATCAAGTAAGTCGTGGGTGGCGCAGCCTGCATCCGGCCACCATGCTGGCTTCACTGTGGTTCTTGTCAGAGGACCTGCTCAGGCCCGGGCCATCTTCTGACAGTTGGCATGATCAAGTCTCCCATTGTGGCTAGTGTGCCCAACCATCGCACACAGGGTCTCCCTCCCTTCCTGCTGGCCAAGTGTGCTGTCCAGTTGTAGCAATAGATGTGTCCTGATGACAGGCTCAAAGCAGGGCCTTGAATAGGCCCCGCTGGACTCGGGCACGGGTGATGACTTGACACCTGCATAGGGCTAATTTTGTGGACTATGGGTGAACTGAAACTCTAATGGAAATGGAAACAATTATGGGCCAAAGCCCTGCGAGAAATGCAGTCTCCCTCTTAGAAAACAGGGGCAGCATGGTTTCTGCAAGTCATCAAAGTCTTTGTTTGGCTAGTTAGTTGAAGACAACATTGCCCATCTCAAAGATGGTGGCCGAGCTCAGGGACTGTGAATGTGTGGGGCTCTCCACTGTCCTGGCAATAATCGAATCATCCAAGTGAGATTTCTGAAAGAATTCTCTCTGCCTCTTCTGAGTCTCCCATTCCAGGGTGTTGACCCACCATCTTGCCCCTTCCAGCTAGCATTCCACATCACCCCCATTTTCAAAAGTAGGGTCTGTTCTGGATTTGCTTCTTTGGCCAGTGGGAACCCGTTTGAAACCCTGGTTCGAAACGAGTGAGCTGGTCTTGCCACTGTAGCATCTAAGGACCTTTCTGGTTGTGTTTTGGGGGGTGGGTTTGCTCCACAAGACGTGAATGGCTTTCTAGACCATGTGACAATTTTAATGGCCTCAGGCTCCCAGCAGACCTCTGAGCGGTCACTGCCCCCACCCCACCCCATGGAATTCACAAAGTAACGGGGTTACCATGCTTCTTTCTAGACATTTGCAACATTGACCCGTCCTGTGGATTTGTCAACTGGAGGCCCGCGTTCAGGGACAGGAGGGCGGCCGGCAGCGACGCGGACATTGACATGGCCTTCATCTTGGACAGCTCGGAGTCCACCACTCTGTTCCAGTTCAATGAAATGAAGAAGTACATCTCCTACCTGGTCAGGCAGCTGGACCTGAGCCCAGACCCCCAGGCCTCGCAGCACCTGACGAGAGTGGCGGTGGTGCAGCACGCACCCTACGCCTCGGTGGGGGCCAGCAGCGTGCCCCCCGTGAAGGTGGAGTTCTCCCTGACCGACTATGGCTCCAGAGAGCAGCTGGTGGAGTTCCTGGGCAGTCGCATGACCCAGCTGCAGGGGACCAGGGACCTGAGCCGCGCTGTCGAATACACCATCGAGAATGTCTTTGAGAGTGCACCGCACCCCCGGGACCTGAAGATCGTGGTTCTGATGCTGACGGGCGCGGTGCAGAAGCAGCAGCTGGAGGAGGCCCAGCGAGCCATCCTGCAGGCCAAATGCAGGGGATACTTCTTCGTGGTGCTGGGCATCGGCCGCAAGGTGAACATCAAGGACGTGTATGGCCTCGCCAGCGAGCCCAACGACGTCTTCTTCAAGCTGGCCGACAAGTCCACTGAGCTCAACGAGGAGCCCCTGATGCGCTTCGGCCGGCTGCTGCCCTCCTTCGTCGGCAGTGAGTCCTGCGTCCAGCCTGGGGAGGTGGCACAGAGGGGTGTATATAGGCAAGGACAGCACATGTGCTGATGCGAGCCCATCACTCCTGCAACAACTGCATGAGCAGCTGTTACGGGCAGACACTCCTTTAGGGCCTGAGACAGCTGTGAGCCACTCAGACCAGGTCCCTGTGCCCAATCCCTCTTTTATTCAGCCAGTGAAGGAGCAGCGGGCCACTGCGATCACCATGGTCATCCGGTGGGCGGTTGGACAGGACCTTGTGCACAGAGTGTGGTCCATGGCAGCCCTCTGGCTGGTGGCAGTCAGAGAAGGGGGTCTCTCCCCAGGTGTTAGTCTGAGTAGACTGGAGAAACAAATTCATAAACACGCATATGTGTATAAAAGAGAGTTTTATATAAAGGGTAATTGTATATTAAGAAAGCATCCCAACCCAGCCCAATGCAAGCCCAGAAGTCTGATATTGGCCCGTCGTCTGATACCGATCTATAAAGTCCTCTTCAGACTGATGAGACACATGCAATTGTGGTGAGTGCAGGACGATCACAGGCCAGTGGGTAGAAAGTCTTTGGATCCAGCGGTGTTGTAAGTGTCTCAGCGCTGGCAGGGGTCTCCATGTGGTTTTCTCCAGTTCCCAAGGCACAGGGTCTATCAACCTAGTGCCATGTGTCTGGTCAGTAGAGCGTCTCTAAGGGAGTGAGTCAAGTGAGGGTGTATCCCCCGCCTCCAAGGAGGAAAATCCGGGAGTTTCCAGAATTCTCAGGAGAAGGCCATGCCCACACAGAGGCCTCATTGGCTATGATCTGATTGAGAGACTAGACTCCACCCCTTCACTCTTAATCCTCTCAAGTCCCAAATGCACACCAGATTATGTGACTACCACACACCACTTGTGCTTGGCCATCAGCTCTCCTGCTTGGGTTTCCCTGGGCCTTTGTCAGTGAGGCACCCTATGCCCACTGTGCCCTGCGTCCCTGCTCACCCTTACCAGGGAGGAACCCAGGCGTGAGGCCTCCTCGGCATGACCTAGCACCAAGCCCACCACTACCACTTCATGGCCCAGCGGGCTCTGCGAAGAGGTGTTGTGTTCACCTTGGCTCTCCCAGTTCTCATCGGAGTGAACCAGACTCAATGCCATCGAGTGAATTCTGACTCTCAGCAACCCTATGGGATGAGGTAGAATTGACCCTGTGGGTTTCCAAGACTCTACTTCTTTACGGGAGTAGAAAGCCTTGTTTTCCTCCCATGGAGTGGCCAGTGGTTTCAAACTGCTGACCTTGTGGTTAGCAGGCCAATGTCTAACCCACTTCATTGCCAAGGCTCCCGGTCACCAGAGTGGATTCAAGGAAAAGCATTGAACCCATGAGGTGGGGTGTGGAAAGACAAAATAAACACAAAGCCACTATGCATTATAACGGACTCGATGGCACCGAGTTCGGTTTGGGATATGATACGTCCAAGGAGCCCTGTTGGCACAGTGGCTAGTAGCCAAGTCAGTGGTTCGCATCCCCAAGCCACTCCTTGGGAGAAAAAGGAGGCTATCCACTCCCCTGAAGATTTCCACAGGGGCAGTTCCACTCTGTCACAAGTGGTAGCTGTGAGCTGGGAGGATCCGATGCTGGTTTGGTGTCTTCTACGGAGGTCTACAGAAAGTCAATCCTGTTGGTGGAAGACACAGTGGAAGGTGCATCAAGCTGCTAATTGCCAATTCTGTGGTGCAAACCCACCAGCTGCTCCTTGGGAGAAAGATGGGCAGTCCGCTCCTGTAAAGAGCTGCAGTCTAGGAAAGCCGATAGGGGTGTTTGAGGCCTGTCCTGAAGCATCGCTATGAGAATCCACTTGATGGCGGTGGGCTATGCCCCTAAGGAACCAGGGGAAATGGAAGCCAAGAGAAGCCTGCAAGTGTACGCAGGGCCATTGTCCCTGTCCTCAGAGATTAAAAAAAAAAAAAAGATGAAGGAAAAAGAGATTTTAAAAAGATGTGTTCAGGAAAGCATTGGGGAAATATTAAAAGCAATTTGCTTATAATTTGATGCTCTGGAGCCTGGAGTTTATTAAATTGGCCACTTGAGTTTTCCTCTTTCTCATACTGAGTGGCATCTTAACCTCCTGTTTCCGATATCGCCGTGTGGAAGCTTCAGAACAACGTAACACAAAACAAAACAAACAACTTCCTCCCCCTTTCCCCAAACTCACGGCCCTCAAGTCGATTCTAACTCATAGAGACCCAACAGGACAGGGTAGGACTGCCCCTGTGGGGTTCCGAGACTGTCACTCTTTACAGGGGGTAGAAAGCCTCATCCTGCTCGTGTAAAGTGGCTGTTGGTTTTGAACTGCTGACCTTGTGGTTAGCAGCCCAGCGCATAACCACGCTGCCATCAGGATCACTACTTAGATGGTTCATCTGCTCATTATAACACAGGAGTCATAGTACCTCATGGTCCCAGAGCAAAACAAATCCACTGAGATCGAGTTGATTCACTCCCATGATGACCCTGTACTGGGTCTCGAGACTGTGAATCCTTACAAGACAGATATCTGGTCTGTTTCCTGAGGTAACAGAAGATAAAAAGAAGAAAACACAACCCTGAATGTTGAAAATCACGTCGGTGGCCCGCCTTGTAGGGGACTCGGTGAACTCATTACAGATGGTTGTAATCTGTATGCTATTCAAACGAAGCTGAAATGTTTTTCTCTCCCCTTGCCTCTCCAGGTGAGAATGCGTTCTACTTGTCTCCAGACATCAGGAAGCAGTGTGACTGGTTCCAAGGGGACCAGCCAGCAAGGAATTCTGTGAAATTTGGGCACAAGCAAGTGTAAGTGGCTGCAACCCTTGGCTCGAGCATCAGGGTCTAGGAGGGATACAGAGACCCACAGAGTATTCCCTTCCTTTATGGGCAAGGACATGCAGTCCCAGGAACACAACTTCCCAAAGGCCAGGAGCAGAAGAAGGAGTTGAATGAGTATCATAAGCCACAAAACACACAGAACGCGCTTTAGAGCACCCGGGCTAAGGGTTCCTAAAGAATACCAAGGCTGCCCGCTCCCGTAAAGATCGACAGTCTCAGGAAACCCACGGGGACCATCCTATTCTGTCTTCCAAAGTCCAGTCGACTGACCCACAGTGCCCCTAGAGGACAGGGCAGAACTGCCCCAGTGGACTTCTGAGACTGTAACTTTCACGGAAATAGAAAGCCCCATCTGGCTCCTTGTAGCATAACCACTATACCACCAGTGGGCTCTTCTCCACTCGGCCTTACAGGGTCGCTATGCAGCAGCATGCAGGGGCCCTGGTGGCCTAGGGGTTACGCATTGGGCCGCTAACTACAAGGGTCAGCAGTTCGAAGCCCCAGTGGTTCCTCGGGAGAAAGATGTGGTTTTCTACTCCTGCAAAGATTCATAGTCTTGGAAACTCACAGGGGCAGATCCACCCTGTCCTGTGGGGTTGCTCTGAGCTGGGACAGATGTGATGGACGTGCGTTTCGGAAACAGTAGCTTTGGGCCAGATCCCAAGTTGCCAGAGTCCATGGGGACTCGGAGACCCCGTGTGGGTCAGGGCAGGGCTGTGCTCCGCGGGGCTTTCCAGCGCAGCTTCTTTTCCAGAAACAGTTCACCAGGCCTTTCTTTCTTTTCCTTTTTTTAATTAAAAGATCATTTTATCGGGGGCTCTGACAGCTTTTATAACGATCCACACATCAATTGCATCAAGCAGTTTTGTACTTAGGTTGCCATCATTCTGCTCTGAACAGGTACTTTCTATTTGAGCCCTTGGAATCAGCTCTTCTTCCCCTCCTCCCATCCTTGTGACCCCTTGATAAATGATAAATGATTATTATTTTCGTATCATACACTGACTGCTGTCTCCCTTCCCCCACGGTTTCATGGAGGGGGTGGTTATGTGTCCATTATTGCGATCAGTTCCCCCTTCCTCCCCTCCTCTTTCTTCCAAGCACCCCTGCGTGGACTCAAACCTCCAAACTTGGGGTTTGCAGTGACTGTGTTCCACCTGTGCACCCCTCAGGGACACCCCCATTCAGACTACAGCTGCGTGTCTGTAGGGCTGGGTGGTAACACGGAATTTGTTTTCACAGCCACGTGCCGAATAACGTTACCTCAAATCCCACAACCAAGCCGGCCACCACCACGAAGACAGCGACCACAGAGACAAAGCAGGCCACCATCGTGAATCTGCCGCCTGCCCGGCCGGCCGCTGCTAAGCCTGCCCCTGTGAGGCCTGCCGTTGCCAGGCCCGAGGCTCCGAAGACAGCCACCGTGCGGCCAGCCGCCCCAAAGCCTGCAGCCCCGAAGCCAGCTGCTGCGAAGCCCGTGGCCGCCACCAAGCCCGTGGCTGCCGCAAAGCCCGTGGCTGCTGCGAAGCCCGTGGCTGCCACCAAGCCCGTGGCTGCCGCAAAGCCCGTGGCTGCTGCGAAGCCCGTGGCTGCCACCAAGCCAGTGGCTGCAGCCCCGAAGCCAGCTGCCGCCAAGCCCGTGGCCGCCACCAAGCCCGTGGCTGCCGCAAAGCCCGTGGCCGCTGAGAAGCCCATGGCTGCCGTGAAACCAGTGGCCACTGCAAAGCCCGTGGCCCCACTTAAGCCTGCAGCCCCGAAGCCCGAGGCCAGCAGGCCACAGGTGGCCAAACCTGCCGCAGTCAAGCCAGCCACCACCAAGCCCGGGGGTAAGAAGCCAAAGCAGGGCTGCGGGGACCAACAATGTCCTCCTTTTGGTCCCCAGGGGATGATCTCAGGGCCTATTTCAAAAGCACCAGGGTTGCTGACCTGCTCATGGCCCCCCAGGTGTCGGCGGGCATCTGTGTCTGGGTGGATTGGAGCGGACGGGCAAGTGTGTTAACTGCTCTGTTCGGGGGACCCCAGTGTCTCCCTTGAGCTGATGGTGACGTGTCAGAGGGGAGCTGGGGCCCCCGGCCGTTTCAGAAGATGGCCTGGTCTTCAGGAAGATGTGATTCTCTAACTTTGGGGTGACTGCTGAACCCTTAGCACCACACCCTTAGTAATGCACGTCTGTTTAGGAAGCAGCCGGAATAGCATTGTTTGGTTTTTCTGCACCTGCGCTTAACTGCAAACCAACCCCCTGCCTCTGAGTCCATTCTGATTCCGAGAGGCCTCGTAGGACAGAGCGGGACTGCCCCTTTGGGTTTCCCGGCCGTCAGTCTTTATGGGATCAGACAGCCTCATCATTCTCGCTCCGAGCAGATGGTGGGTTCGAACTGCTGACTGTGTGGTTAGCAGCTCCAGGCGTCACCCGCAGCACCATGAGATCGCTCTCTGTATCTGAAAGGGGACATCCTTCTGTATTAGTACGTGATGGCTTCCCCTCACCCTCTGTGATGCCTGCCTCCTCCAAACCTCACACCCCTGCCTGGAAGCTGCCGAGGGCTCCCTGAGGTGACTGGGAGGGACAGGGCCACTTCTTCTGGGGACCCTGCAGCTCCAGCTGATGGGATGGGGCTCTGAGTACAAGTTGGTCTTAGGGCTCATTTTGGGGTGCAGAGAGGGGGAAGGCAGCAGCTGCATGCGCATTAGGGCAAAACCAATCAGCAAGGTAAGCACGAGTGTTCTTGTGTTTACTTATTCCTCTGTAGAGAAGAAAACATGCGGTGGCGTTCACCGCCGATAAGTAAGCACAAGGAAGCCGGTGCTTACCTTTGTCACTGGGCACTCTGTCCCCACCAGGGATTGTCAATGAGAAAAGAGGGCTTGATTCTGCAGGAAGGGGCTGTGGTTTGGGCGAAAGAGAGGTAGGAGCTATCAAGAACAGGAGCACCTCTGAGATGTTGGGAAAGGGTGTACTGTCCCCTACAGATGAGGCCGTAGGTATGAGGAGGCCCATGTTTCCCTTGTTGTCTGGACCCGCCCCAGGGTGAGACTGCTGTGTCTGTGCCTGGGCCCTGGAACTGGTCTCTCATGGATGGTGCCCTTTGCCAGGGCGCTGTCCCGGTAGGGAACATAGCACCTTCAGGGGATGTTCCCTGTGGCCACATCTGTGTGCTTTCCCTTAACAAGAGAGCCCTGGGGCAGGGGACAGGGTTGTAGTGGGGGAGCACTCAACTGCTAACCACAAGGTACAGTGTTCAAACCCACCAGCCACTTCTGGGGAGAAAAATGAGACTCCCTGTTCAAGTAGAGAGTCACAGTCTCAGAACCCCCAGGGGCAGCTCTATCTGCCCTACAGGGTTGCTAGTGGAAGCAGACGTCTTCTGACCCGCTCTGTCCCGCTCCCTCTATCGCTTGGTGTTCCAGCACGTTAGTGTCTGTCTTCCATCTCTCCTCTGACTTTCAAAAAAACAAAACCACACTCACTTCCATCGGGTCGATACTGACTCACGGCGACCCTGTAGGACAGGGCAGAGCTGCCCCTGGGGGTTTCTGAGCCTGTGATGCTTTATGGGAGTAGAGATCTTCGTCTTCCTTCTGAGGAGTGTTTTGAACCGTGGACCTTGTGGTTAGCCACCCGACGTGTAACCACCTGACGTGTAACCACTCTCTGACCTTGGTTTGGGTGTCCCTTGCAGTGAGGCTGCCCCGAGAGGTCCACGTATCGGAGGTCACAGACAACAGTGCCAAGCTCCGCTGGGACCGGCCCGAGCCCCCCAGTCTGTACTTCTACGACCTCACCGTGACAGCGGCCTACGACCAGTCCCTGGTTCTGAGGCAGAACCTCACGAGCACGGACCGGGTCATCGGAGGTCTGCTCTCAGGACACACCTACCACGTGTCCGTGGTCTGCTACCTGAGGTCCCAGGTCAGGGCCATCTACCAAGGCAGCTTCAGCACAAGTGAGTGCGTAGTTCTTTCATGAGTTTACTCGGCTGGAGACACACGAGCAAGAAAAATGTCCCAAGGGCTCGGTCATCCCCCGACTCATTAAACCATAGACTAGAAGGCTGGTCCCGGGCTATTTAATGGAGGGTTCCAGGTCGACTGTCCTGAGTGCGACCCCACACCACCCATGATGGAGACCACAGTCACTGCCGTTGAGTCACTGCTGACTCAGCGGTCACTCTATAGGACAGGAGAGAGGAACTGCCCCTGAGCCTCTGAGACTGTGAACTCTTTATGAGAGTAGAAAGGCTTGTCTTTCTCCCACTGAGCTGCTGGTGGTTTTGAACAGCTGACCTTGCAGTTAGCAGCCACTGACATGCCCCGCAGCACCGGGAAAATGTGTCCTTGTGACCTTGTGACCAAGAGGAGGTCAGGTGAGTTAGTGGTACAAGTCTTGCCTTGCACAAAGGAAACGCAGGTGGGATGCCCGGCCAAATGCCTAGTCACCACCCGTCTGTCCATGGAGGCTGGTGCGTTGCTAGTAGGCCGATTAGGATTTAGGGGAACTTACAGATTCCAAAATGCAGCCAGCAGAAACCCTGCAGGTCACCAGGGTTCCAGCCTAAATCCCGTGTGGGGATGGTGCTGGGCAGGCAGCGTTTCCTTCTGCCGGATGTGGTGTTGCCATCCATGTGGACAGCTGACAGTGACCAGCGAGAACGCTTTCCTGCCCACCACCCCTTCCATGTGTCCTCAGTGTTTCTGGGTTCAGTGAACCGAAAACAGCAAGATGAGTCTCACAGTGGCCTTAGGGGGAGTTGGGGAAGTCTCCCCACCCAGGGGTCCCAAGATATCCACAGCCACTTCAGAGAGGACTTTATCAGTTCCCTGCCGTGACCTCACTTCAAAAGAGCACTGGTGGCCCAGTGGGTTTAGCATGGGGCCCAATAACCAGAGGGTTGGGACCCACTAGCTACTCCTCAGCACCAAGATGCTTCTGCAAAAGATGACCTCTTTGGAAACCCTCTGGGGGCGTCTACTCTGCCTCATGGGGTAGCTGTGCAATGGGATGGGCTTGATGGCAGTGGCTTTTTTGTATTGGGTCCCAGGCCTGTCTTTGTCCCCTGTCATCTGCTCCATGGGGTGCCTTTATCATGACTCACCCTTTCTCATCTCTGGAAGCTCTACCAGATCTCTTCTCGCAGCCTTCGGGGCCTCCTCTGCTCCTGGAGTGTGGAGGGGAAGCCTGCTTCCCCTTTCATTCAGCTCAAGGAGAGAGAATCCCCGCCAGTTGCCAGACAAAAAGCACATCCATCCATAAAGAGTTGAGTCCCAAGGACCAACCATCCATAGTTGAGTTCCAAGGACCATCTATCCATAAAGAGTTGAGTCCAACCATCCATAGTTGAGTTCCAAGGACCATCCATCCATAAGAAGTTGAGTCCCAAGGACCATCCATTCATAAAGAGATGAGTCCCAAGGACCAACCATCCATAGTTGAGTCCCAAGGACCATCCATCCATAAAGAGTTGAGTCCCAAGGACCAACCATCCATAGCTGAGTTCCAAGGATCATCCATCCATAAGAAGTTGAGTCCCAAGGACCATCCATTCACAAAGAGATGAGTCCCAAGGCCCCGTCCACACATGACAGCCGGTGAGAGTCTGTGGGGGGAATGAGAGAGGAGGTGTTCAGGAGCTCCTGGATGACCTCAGACAGACAGATGGACCTGCGTTGCAGACAGGCCATGGTTAGTGCCTATGGCCACTCCTCAGGTCTCTGTGGCATGAAAGGGTCTTTTCCTGCAAGGCGACCTTGGGCTTGCTCCATCAGCTCTTCCAGTTCTGACTGACTGACCAGCTGTAACTACTTTCCCTTCCTAGAGAAAACCCAGTCTCCACCCCCACAGCCCGCACGGTCTGCCTCCAGTTCCAGCATCAATCTGATGGTGAGCACGGAGCCTCTGGTTGGTACCCAAACAGGTGAGCTGTGACCTCATTACATCCATTGGGGGCACGGGGAGATGTCCTCTTTCCAAAATGGTGAAGCTGCTGATGCCTTTGAGAGTCATTCCTCTAACTAAGGCCTAGGTCTCAGACCAGGCATGACTTCTGTGGGGGAAGGTTCCAGGTTGCTTCTGCCAGGCCCAGCCTGGTCTTCTTCCAAGCAGGGACGGCCACTTACCTCTCCTGTCACTGGGCTCCTCAGGGAAACTGGACAGGAGTTGCTTGGGGGACTGGAGCCAGCAGTTCACGCTCCTGTTCGTCATCTCCTGACACCCCCTCTTGAGGCTGGAGTTCTCTGTGGTCTGCCAACCTGGGGAGAAGAGGGTTTAGTGCACCCGGTAATTCAATCCGATAAAACCGGCTGAGAAACACACCAGGGAACCCAATCAGGCCCGTGAGGTTGGCGTTTGGATGGGAGCCGTGACTGTCCTGGGCCTCAGCCCTTAGCGTGCCTTCTGGTCCAGTCTGCTATCCCCGCCTTGTGTGTGAGAGTCCCCAGGGCGTTTGTACATCTTTCCTGTTCATAGAGCGTCCCTTGGCATGACTCAGGACCTGACTGCTCCTATTACTTGTGTGCCTGGGAGCAGGACTGGGACCCAGGACCCCTTGTTCAGCAGAACCTGAGCTCAGGGCTCTCACTCACAGAAAACCTGATCATTCAAAGAGTGGGTGTGTTTGCTGCTTGGTAACGGGATAAAGAGGGATAAAGAGGAAGGCTCTCGACAGGTGGATAGACAGGTGGATAGACAGGTGGATAGACAGGTGGATAGACAGGTGGATAGACACCGCGGCTGCAGCCACGGGCTCAGACCTCGGGAACGATCGTGAGGGTGGCGCAGGCCCGGGTGGTGTCTCCTTCTGTTGTGCATGGGGTGGCTGGGTCGGAACCGACGGATGGCACCGAACCCCCAACCCCACCCCCAGCCTCAGGAGCAGCTGTTGTCTCTGATGTGTCTGCATTCCGTTTGGAGGGGCTGTTGCTGGCACGCTTCATGGCATTTCTTTGGAAACTAGGGCGATAAAACCGGCTGAGAAACACACCAGGGAACCCAATCAGGCCCGTGAGGTTGGCGTTTGGATGTGTCCATATAACCAAAAAACCAGAGTCATTGCCGTCATGGTGAGCCCGTAAGACAGAGAAAAGCCACCCCAGGGGGTTTCCAAGGCTGTCACATTGACCACAGGCCTCTTAGTGAGTAGCCACACTTAACCCCTATGTCACCAGGGCTCTTTGATGTCTATTTCTTCATGTGAATGTTGGCTCACAATGACCCTATGGGACAGAGTAGAACCACCCCTATGGGTTTCAGAGACTATACATTTTTATTGGAGTAGAAAGTCCCATCTTTCTCCTGAAGGTCGGCTGGTGGTTTCAAACTGCTGGCTCTGCAGTGAGCAGCCCAAGACATGATCCACTAGAACATCAGGGCTCCTTGAGTCAAAATCAACTTCCCGGCAGGGAGCGCCGTCCACCTACAGATCGCTCTCGATCTCTCAGGTGTGCGGCCAAACAGAGCATTAGCAAAAGTGGAGGAATCCTCCTCTGTGAGCTGGAGAGTCACAGGCACCCACCGTGGTCGCCCACACATCAGTGATGACGGACGGGGTGGTGCAGGGCCTCTGTTGGGAGCCAACGTAATGGCCACGCACTACGACCACATAAGTCGTAGGATCGCAAGTTAGGTCGACACTAACCAAGCCAGTGTAGAAATGGTATTATGCACACCAATGGGTGATAAGAGTGAATCAACAAACTACGTATGGAACTAATTTTAAGCTTTCTTTTAAGTTTGTTTTGGAGAGCTCGTTGAATTAGCCTGTGTGAGAGAACCACATGTGTTCCCAGACCCCTCTGCTTTTTCCAGTGGAAAGGTGGACAGAGAAAGAGAAAATTCCCTGCTCTTGATAAACTCTGTGGACAACCCAGCACTTTATGGTGGATTGGGTAGCTAAGCTATTCACCCTGCAAGGATTGAATACAGAGATGTCACGAAAAAATATTAATGTTTTGGTTTTTAACTAAGGAAGAAGGCTATGGATTGCGGGCTAGGATGGAGACGAATCCTTGGAAGGGAAAAGTCTTGAAGCTTTTGATTTCTCATAACCATATCTGTTTGTCTCGCATCTAGGGACCATGGGTGACTTTTACTCCTTGTGCTACGGGCACCCTGGTTCCTAACCCACTTAGCTGCATCCGAGGATGAAGCCACTTTTAGGCCACTCACACGTGTTTCATCCAGAGGGAATCCGCAGGAACGCAGCAGGGGCTGTCTCCACGGTCGTCTGGAAGCCTCCTTCTAGGAGAACATCTCCGACGACCCGAGTCAAGATAGATCCAACTCTGATTTCAAAGTCCTGGAAAGTTTGCGCATGCTTCCTGACTCTGGACAAACACCTGCTTTTGGTGACATGCTGTTGTTGTTAGGTGCTGTGCCGGTGGTTCGGATTTGCAGCAACCTGTGCACCAGAATAAAACACTCAGCTGTCCCGTCCTTACAAATGTCTGAGCAGGCGGAAGTCAATGTCTGGCAAACGCAGGGCTTTGCTGAGCAGAGATGACTTGGGGTCAACTAGAGAGTGAATCTTGGGGATGCCTTGAATTCCTTACTTTGGTCCAGAAGGAACAAGCAGATGTGAACAGTGTTTTGTCAAAGTCAACAACCCAGTCTTTACACAAGAATCTGGCCGGGCTGTTTTGTGTCATTTCTCAATGTTGTGTCTTCAGGGTCAGAGCTGGGAGCGTGTCTTTAATCCCGATCTCTAACACGTCCCACTCCGTTCTCCATCATGAGAGAGGCTTTTTTGAAAAGGAGGTTTATGTTTTCTTTCGAGGCTACCAATAGTGTGATACAGATAAATCTAAAGTCGTTCTTGTTTGTACCGATTGGTGAATAACCCTCAAACTTGTCAACGTGTATGTTCTCTCACCATTTCGTGTGTGTGTGTGTGTGTGTGTGTGTGTGTGTATACAAAGCGGACTCAGAAAATGTACCTTGGGCATCATCACAAAGTACATTCTAAATTCTTGGCTCATCCATTCATGTTGAAGAAGAGTTTCAACGTTCAGAATTGCCAAACTGATGAACAAAACACGCTGCGTTTTGGAAATGAGCCACCTGCAGACCAGTCACGTCATTTCACCTGAGCAGAAACTGTGGTCATCCTAGGTACCGTGGACCCCATTCCAGCTCACAGCGGCTCTAAGTCACCGAACGGAACAGCCCGGTTCTGTGCCATCCTCACGACGGCCACTGTGTCGTCCACCTCATTGGGGTCCTCCTCTTTTTCACTGACCCTCTACTTTTCCAAGCACGGTGTCCTTGCCCAGCGTCTGGTCCCTCCTGACAACATGTCCAATATCCATGGCATGGAGCACGCCACTTGGTACACACTCAACTCAGTTCTGGAGCAATACACGTTCCGAGAGCTTACTTTGCAAAGTCTAAGCAGCGTCATCAGTTCCCATCATGACACCTCTGGGATTGGAGTGTGACCTGTGACGGACTGGCAGCGCTTTGCACTGCTCCCCAGAACCTAGAGCCACGGTGCATCCCAAAGTCAAGATGTCTTAGCATTGGTGGAAGGCACTGTGTGGCTGACTCTCCTCCAACCAAGGGTCTAGTATTGGCTACCACCACGTGAAGTCACGGAGGAAAATCCTGACTTATGTGAATAATAATTCAAGAGTTAACTGAGCCCAAAAGTTGAAGGGAATGCTATCCCTACAAATATTTGTTCTACTTGGGCCAAGAGACATAGCTACCTTCAAATCCATTTGTTTATAGCTGCATGAGAGAAAATCTGTGTTGGTTGCAATGTTTGGGTCATGATGTTTCTCAGAGCATACACACACACACACACACACACACACACACAAGTCTTAAAAAGAGTCTTGGCTAAGAAATGTGGAGCAGAGGGTCTGCAGCATAACCACCATGACTTGTAAAACAAGGTTAAAAATATCAAAACGTTTCCTTGGTATTTCCCTCAAAAAGTAGAAGGTAAAGCTTTGTTGATGTTGTGATCGTTGTCTATTTAAACAGACCATCCAGGCTTTCTAGCTTTGGAATCGGTTTCTCCCGTCAGCAAAGTCTGGCCCTGAGGCCGTTAAGCTGTCTCCTTGTGTACGAAGGCACTGCACCGACGAGGACCGTATTGGCTGCAGCAGCACACCCTCACTTCCCACACCCCTCCTCTCGCTCACGGGAACCCTGAGGAGGTTGAAGGACGTCCAAGCTCGAGCTTTCACACATGTTTCCCTGCCCTATGGGGATCTCAAATCAGGAGAAAGGGCTCACCGTCACCCTATAGGGGAGCATAGAAGTTCTCCTTTGTGTTTTCGAGACTGCCCAGCTTGACGGAAGCAGACAGCCTCATCTTTCTCTGGAGGAGTGCCTGGTGGGCTTGAACTACTGACTTTGCAGTTAGTGGACCTGTGCTTATCCCTTTGCACCACTAGAGCTCCTTAGAAAGAGGCAACATTTTCTAATTTACTGTATTTTTTGTTTCAATGAATAATATCTATATAATCTTTCCTGCTAACAGAACAAGTAGATGGTCATTGCGAGGCATTACATCTACATGGTTCCCATGGGATGGTCACTGGTGGCTCTAATTCAGGACTTGATGTGTGTCCTGACCGACACTTGTATGAATGTAATGGGCTCACATGTGTGCATACAATTCAGACTCAGCGGCACCCCAGAGGACACAATAGCACTGCTTCCTAGGGTTTCTGCGACTGAAACCTTCACAGGGCAGACAGCCTCCTCCTCCTCCTGTGGAGCATCTGGTGGGTTCAAACTGCTGATGTTGTGGTTGGCAGCCCAACACCGATTGCACCACATCTGCCCGACTAGCAGAGCACTCCCCGCAGGGTGCTGATGGAGTCTGGTTCCTAAGGGGCCAGAACGTGGACACTGACTAGTGTCCTAGTGGACACTAGTGGACACTAGCTAGTGCAGAAGGCTCGGGCTGAAGGACGCTTGAAACAAATACGTTAGAACAGCCTCGGGCCCTTGGTGCGTCTTGGAGAGGAAGAAGGGGGCATGAAGAGGTGGCCGTTTGGTCTGGGTCCCCAACTGACAAGGAAACACACCCACCGACAAGTGAAGCGTTTCGTTGGCTGGATGACCTTGGCTTACTCAGATCCGCCCCTGACAGGCTTGGGATGGCCACGGCCTCCCCTGCGTACTGGCCCGTTGGGGAGCGAGAAGGCTGTGGTCCCAACTGACCCATCACTTCACTTCGGCTTCGTTGGGCCACTCCAAGCCTTTCTGGGCCTCTGGGAGAGTTGGGGAGCAGGAAGCGCAGTGTGGAGACCTCCACTGCCCTTCCCAGCTGGGTGACAGTTTCTCCCCAGGGACCCATGGAGGGTGCTACCTCCTTTCCGGGGCCTCACTCCCCTGGCCACTTGGAGTCTCGTTCATCATGGCTGGCTCACGCTTTGATGTCCCCTCTGTGACTTGAGTGTAACTTCTTATCTCCAAGCGGTGAGCATCCTGGCGCAGCTGTGGGTCAGGCAGAGGGAAGCCACGCCTCCTTCTGGAAGGAGGTTTCTGGAAGATCCTTCCATGTCAGCTACTCATGTCGGTATGCAGTGTTATCAGCTCCCGGGAGTCTTATCTACAGGAGGGTCACGTCTTCCCAGCTTTCGGATAGCAGTGGGCCTCAAGGCCTCCCTTTGAGGTTTTCCAGAAAGCTCTGTGCACAGTTGTGACTGTGTGAACTGGGGGGTGGGGTGTCCCTCCAGGCACAGCAGAGGCTGGAGAGCTCTCTGGGCAGCTGGCCTCTGTCACAAGCCTGCTCTTAAAACGCAAGCTTCCTTAACTAGAGAAAGAATGCTGCCCTTGCTTCAAGGTCGCTTTGCTGGTGACAGTTTGCTCTTGTGAAATGTACGTCACTCCTTTTCACTGAATTGTTTTATCTGGCAGGCCACAGAGGCTCGCTCTCTCTCTCTCTCTCTCTCTCTCTCACACACACACACACACACACACACACACACACACACACACACACGCCACTTTAACTTTCATTTTCTTGGCTGGTGGTGATGAAATGCCTGACTTTGGAAGTGCTGTTTAATTGTTCGCCCCCTCGGCCCCGGCTCCAATGAGTAGACAGCAGCAAAGATTTTAAGATTCAGTTTCTTCTCTGGTGATTTGCAAGGGAAGGAATTAGGGAAAATAAAATGAAAATGAAAGGGTCAACCATCAAAAAAGGTCGGGTGGGGCCAAATTCATTTCGTTTTCAATGATCAGCTAGGGTCTGGTGGTGCACATGTCGGGCTGCTAACCACAAGGTCAGCAGTTTGAAACCACCAGCCGCTCCGCTTTAGAAAGACGAGGCCCTCTTTTCCTGTGAAGAGTTACAGTGTTGGAAATCCACACGGGCACGTCTACCCGCCTTACAGGATCACTGTGAATCGGAATCAACTCGCTGGCAGTGGGTTTTGTGTAGGACTTTTGAATAATGGGTTGGCTCCCATTGGTGTTACCATCTAACGCTGCAGCTTAGAGAGTGTTTTTCAACAGTGGGGTTGTATGTGATCCTCATGATGTGATTCGTGACAATGCCCATTCACCAGGGCGGAGACTGAGCCACGGGAGGAGTACGAGAACCGAGTGTTCTTCCTGGAAATTCTTCTCCCTTCTCTCCACTGCAGCATCCCCCAAACCTCCACAGGCCCCTCACTGAAAGCAGGGTGGCTGGCGTGTCCTGCTGACTGCCCTTCCCTGGTCTTGTCATTAAAGATATATGCAAGCTGCCCAAAGACGGAGGGACTTGCAGAAAATTCGAATTGATGTGGTACTATGATCCGGAGACCAAAAGCTGTGGGCGGTTCTGGTACGGAGGCTGCGGCGGCAACGAAAACAGATTCAGCTCACAGAGAGAATGTGAAAAGGTTTGCCTTCCCGGTGAGTGACCCTTCTTTCACCTACGGCTTTTGCACGGGCTCTCAGCGATTCGGGTCAAGGATGGAACTTTGGGCAATGTGTGAATCAGGGTCATTGTGACAGACTGGGTAATGCCCCGCCCTGTACCCTCAGATGGGAAAGATCTTCCCTGAAAGCCCAATAAAATTTCTGGGATATTAGTTTTTGGTTCTTAGGAACATACTGTATATTTCCACTTAAAAAAAATTGTCAACGAAGAAACAGGACGGATTAGTTGTCACTCTAGAAACGTTACCAAGTCCCTGATTTTGTATCAACCACGATGACTGGGGAAATAATATCATGAAGAACTATGGGTAATATCAAAGATAAAGGGCCGCCCTATATCTGACTGTAATTTTACTTCCTGTGCATGGTAATGTTGACACTGGGGGCCATCCAACCTCTCATTATCTTGGGCAACTTGATTGGTGAAATCGTAAGACTCTCAGAAACAGCCACAGCCAGTACCTGAATGGAGAGAGTTTCCTTCGGCTCCAGACCCAGTAGACTAGGTGGGGTTGGAGGGCAGTATCAGGCTGTTGATGACGGCCTTTCAAACACGAACCTAGACGGTCATGGGAACCACTGAAGACGTGTGAGCTGAAAAGTGAGATTGACCATGGCAGCCAGAAGAAGGGAAGGCGTAGTCCCATGACCAACACAGGGTGTCCTTTCTGGTCTGTAACGGTCTGTCCTTCCTCTCTCTCCTCGTCCTTTCCTCCCCGGCAACGTCCAGTGCTCGTCAACGCTGGAGCCATCACGGCCATGGGAACTTAGACCTGGCTGGCCGGCAACACATACCTCTGAGAGAAGGAGTTCGCCACCCCCAACTCGTCTTGGCAGAAGCTCTGGGTACAGATGACCTTGCACGGTGCCATTTCATGCTTCCATCTACACTCGAACTTGGGCGGAGACGTTTTTCTGCATGTCCCGCCCATATGGTGCTAAGTGTGTCTGTGGACTCAACCCTCCTTGTCTCCAGGCAGTTCCATTTGTATCCCTCGACCAGGTCGAACAGCTCCCCATGACTGGTGTTTATGTGAACCTTTCTACCAAGTCAAGGTCCCCCCTGGAGCTTCACGTCATGCCTGTTGTTGGCGAATGCAAAGTCTAGAACATAAGCCCCCACCTCCCAGCTGCTCGGTGCACTTCTGCTTGGTTCCTTCCCGGCCCCCCTTAATCAAGAATGAGCTCAGCTGGAAAGCCTGTGTAGGAGCCCAACTTTTCCATCCCCTCCCCGGCGCCCCAGCTTCCTGGATTAGATTTTGGGCAGCTATCCTTCTTATCACACCTGCAGCACCTGATCTGGTTAGAAGGAAGCAAAGGTCCCTTAATCCAGGTGCACCGTTGGGACCATGGCCTCGATTAAAAAAAAAAACACACACAAAACAAAAACGTTTTTACAAAATCATCATATAGAATATTTTTGGCATTCCCCTTTGGTTTTTTTCCTTGTTTTTTTTGGTGGGGGTTTAATGTTAATTTTTAAAGTTTTCGGGAATTTATACAAAGAAACTTTTTAATAAAGTATATTGAAAGTGTTGTGGCCTTATGAGCTGTCTTATTTCCTTCGCATCAATTGTCGGAGTCATGGAAGGCCAGGAGAATTAGGCCCATTCAAGCCCAAGGTCAAGGGTCCGACCCTTTGGTGTCAGATCTGTCATCCAGAGGAAGCGCACTTTCTCAGATGGAACCTTAGGCGGTCCCGTGGTCCTGCCTGTTCTTCACTTGTGGATTCCGGCCACAGCCTCTGCAGGGTCCTGTGGGTCCCCAGTGGGTCCCATCCTTTATTCCAGGGACCTGGAATCTTCTGGTTGCCTATCTTTTCCTTCCCTTTGAGTTGGAGCCAAGAGACTCCTCTTTGACGTGACCCTTCCCCGGGGGTCTGGTTTGCCCTCTCCCATACGAACGGAGAGCGGGGATACCAATTCCCAGGGCCTCCTGCTCCTCTGTTCTGCAGTCTCGAAGGGCAAGCATAAGTTCTCTTTTTTCTCCCAAAGACCTTTCTCCGCTGCTCAGAGATGGCCCAAACCAACTCACAAAGCCACTCGACAAATATGAAGGTACGTTAAAAAGGTCTTGGGGTTCGATTCATAAAAGCCCAGGTTCATTCTGCACAAAACATATTTGAGTAAACATGGGATGGGCGGATGGCTGCGGACAGTCCGCACTGTCCTGCACGCGTCTTGGTCACGTGCCTGTGACCTCGAGGCCGCTGAGCGCAGGGACTTCTCAGGGCGCCTCCCAGACCCGTTCGACGCCAAGCAGCTCGGAAGGTTAGGGTAGCTCGTTTGATTTCTGGATTCCAAAGACGTGTTTCAATAGGTTTTCTAGATAGACGACCCCGAACAGTTGTGGGGCTTATTATAAGGATGTTTTGAGAAAAGCGAAAACTGCACTGATGAGAGTTGCACCCAGGAAGTTCATCTGTCCAAACAACACACCTGCTCATTTTCAAAGGTCGAGAGGGCTGTCATAGGAAAATTCCTTTGGGAAACTTTATTCCAGGTGGGAGATCAGCCTCCACAACAGAACAGGTCCTAGCGGGCAGTTGTGTAGTTGAAGAGTAAATCAAAGAAACATCAGGCAAGACATGCCAGGTCGTCCATGATGACCGGAACCAGAGAGAGAGGGAATGTATTCTCTGGCAGGATTATATAATTTGGGGCATGCAAGCCACGTGCTAGGCATACGTAACAGGAAGGGGTTGTATCAGAGGCATACATGTAGGAGGAAGGTACCTACGTAACAAGATGGGCTGGTTCTAGAGTTGAGACAGTGGCTTAACATTGGTGCTTTCTGAACTGGCCTGACCTTTACTGTCCTTGAGCTCGTCTTCAGCAGGGCAGCAATCTACGAACCTTATCAGAAGGGAGTGGGCTGTCCGTAGGGTGGGCTGGTCTGACCCCTTTTGATGGCAGACGGCAGACAGCATGCAGGCAGATAACCTTCAAACAGTTAAACTTCAAGCATAGGGTAGCCATTGTGTGCAGCAGCACCTTGCAATTGCCATTATTACGGGGGACGTTGTGGGGATAACTGTGTAGTTAAGAGAATGTGACTGGGTTCGTCTCCAACCCATGAGCCGTGGAGGCCTTCCTCCGCCAGAACCCGCCTCCCAGACCTCTTAACTACGAGGACAGAGGATTTGTCCACAGACGACTCTCTTCCTGATTCTTAGTCCCCACCACCCTCGCGGCCTACGGTCCTGACCTTGCCCCTTCAGACTTCTTTTGGGTCCCCAAACTCAAAGGACATTGAAAAGGACCGTGATTTGGGTCCTTCCAGGCACGTTCGCTGATGTTTTGACTTGAGGTAGGTCAAAGCACACAGAACTCTTTGGGGAAGACTCCAGAGATGCAAGCTCAGCCTTCAGCTAGGTGTGCACCTGGATGGAGGCTAGGATTGTTGAAACAATAGCTTCATGTTTTGATAGCTCTGCTTAGTGACGGTTTCTGTGACTTTTGTAGCAATACCCCCTGCCCCCCAAAGCTATGATGAAAGCAAGACACTGAAAAAAAAAAAAAAAGAAAGCAAGACACTGACTGGGTCACATGTCCATGTTGCTGTTGGGTGCTGTTCACTGGTTCTGACCCATAGCGACCTTCTGCACAATGGAACAGAACGCTGCACCCTCCTGCGCCATCTTCACAATCATTCCTGACTTGAGCCCATTGTTTCAGGCAGGGTGTAAGTCCATCTCTTTAGGGCCATCCTCTGCAGCACTTCCCCTAAACATGATGTCCTGCTCCAGGGATGGGGCTCTTCTGGCAATACGTCCAAATATGTAAGGGGAAGTCTTGCCATCCCTGCCTCTAAGGAGCACTCTGGCCGGATTTTTTCCAAGACATCCCCATAGAAGCTTATTTTCTTTATTAATGAAAAGAAAAAGAAAATCAAAAAGGAGGTTTAAGAAACTTAAGCAGAACTGACAGATATAGCTTCCCAGTGGTCTGTGTGGTTTTCGTGGTGGTTAGATGCGTGGCCCGTGGTCTAGACTTATAACCGACTAGGCAGCGCTGCCTGCCCTACTCCATCCTCGCAGTGCAGCTCATGTTTGAGCCATCTCTGCAGCCCCTCTCTCAGTCCATCTTGCTGAGGGGCTTCCTCTTTTTCGCGGTCCCTCCACTTTACCAAGGTGGGTTTTGGAGACGGTTTAATGGGGTACAAGACGACCCGGCTTCCCAGCCTTGGCTCGTAGGGGTTTCAAAGCTCCTTTCCTGCCGTGCTGTCCTTGTCCCCAGACCCCCGCCCCCACCCCTTCCCCTCTTGCTGCATGGCTGGTCTCTCCAGGTAGCCGCTGCCACCGTGTCTTGTTCCCAGGGCTGGCACCACGTAGTTGGTTGATCACACACCAGTCTACACTGGGACTTATCTTTCCATAGGTGGACTTTGCCTCCTCACCTGGACTCGAATCCCTTCAGGGCATCAGTGCTCATAAGAGGCCAGCATAACTGGTGGTGCATGGTTTTGGCTGACGGTGAATGAATCGTTTTGACTGATGGTGGGATCCACAGTTTTGAACATTCTTGAGAAGAAAGGACCCCTGGTCACGTTCTATCAAGGTGACACTGGTGTCCCAAACAGATTATTTATCGCTCTTAGAACCTTCAGCTGAACCACAGTTGAACCTTCTCTTGAGCCAACCAGGCAGCCTCCTGGCACCTCAGTACTGCTGGCGTTGAACTCGTATGAAAGGCGAACCATGGAGCTATTGCCAGTCTGATTTGGTTCTGGACCACAGCAGCAGGCGGGATGCTGAAGGAAAGTGAGTCAGACGGATGTCATGGTTTCCCGGTGCACAGAGCAGCTGTGTTTACACCATGCTGTAATCTACAGTTGTTGTTGTTGGGGTTGTCGAGGGTGCTCCAACTCATGGTGACCCCACGGACAAGCGAACGGATCACTGCCCCGTTCCCCGCCACCCTCTCAATCCTGGCTATGCTTGGGCCCGCCGTGGCAACTACTGCGTCCATCCACCTTGTTGAGGGTCTTCCTCTTGCCTGCTGCCTTTCCACTTTACCAAACCTGACGTCCTTCTCCAGAGACTGCTCTTTCCTAATCACGTATCCAGAGTGTGTAAGACAAAGGCTCGCCACCCTTGCCTCTCAGGAGTGCTTAGGCGGCAGGTCTTCCAAGACAGAGTTGGCTGTTCTTTCAGCCGTATTCTCAACATTCTCAGTCAGCACCGTAATCCAAACGCATCCGTTTGTTAAAGACGTCGGTGTCACGCCATGTTCTATACACTTCGCCGAGCCTGTTAAGTGTGTGGTAGCATGATGAGAAAAACGAGGGTGACCAAAATGTGACACAGAGCCACAATGTGAGCACAGGATGTGGGACAGACGGCATTGATGGACTTGCTCAACACAGGGTGGCCCAGACCCCCAATTTGTAAAAAACACAGCATCTGCCATGTGCCAAGCAGCAGAACACAATGAAACGAGGTGCCCCGTATCTGCCCTCACTTCCGTGGGACCGAGACCGGGGAAGTAGACAGAGGCCCCACTTTATTGGTGCTCATCAGGCAGGAGAAGAAGAAAAGGGGGAGTTGATTCTTGGGGGACACTACGATTCTGTTTGGGGGTGATGAAAATCTTTGGACACAGATAGTGGTATTGGTGGAACAACAGGACAAGCATAAATATTATCACCAAATTCTACATGTGAAGAATGTTGGAACAACAACTGTCTTGCTACATGTATATTGACCATAACAAAATAAAACCAAACAAAGATACATATTAAAGTAGCACCTAAATCCCACTTAGAAAGGAAACAGAAGTTACTTGGTGACATGCATTTACTAGTGCTTAAAGTGGAGAACGTACAACTCTGTCTTGGAAGAAGTAGAGCCAGAGCGCTCCCCAGAAGTAAGAATGGCAAGACTGTCTCATTCACTTCAGATATGTGGTCTGGAGAGACCAGTCCCTGGGGCAGCATGGCATGCTTGGGAAAGTTGAAGGGCAGCATCAAAGAGTGTGTAAGTCTGAGTAGACTAGAGAAAAAAATTCCTAGACACTCATATGTGTATGAGAAAGGGCTTTATATAAAGAGTGATTGTATATGAAGAAAACATCCTAGCCAAGTCCAGATCAAGTCCATAAGTCTGATATTAGCTCATATGTCAATACCAGTCTGTAAAGTCCTCTTCAGATGCACGCAACACATGCATTGAAGCAGAATTCAGGGAGATCATAGGCCAGTGGGAGGAAAGTCTTGTGGATCCAGTGGCGCTGGAAGCATCTCAGCACTGGCGTGGGTCTCCACGTGGCTCCTCCAGCTCCAGGACTCTGGTTCCATCAGCGTAGCTCCATGTGTCTTGTCAGTAGGAAGAAGAAGCAGAGAGGGTCTGGGTCTGACTT